CTCCGAACAACGCATTATTTGGGAGGTTGTATTATTTAATTTTTCATTATTAGATTACTTGAGTGGTTCAGCAAAAAAAGTGATAATATATTGGTAAGAACCTATATTTTTTAAATGTAAAAATTTTAGTATAGGTAAGTATATTTAACTAAATTATCTCTGACTTAGACCATGTGGACGATGTTATGCTGTTCTCATTTCGAGTGGTTCAGTTCATTTATGTACTAAAAGGCTTATGAATATTATTTGAGGGCAATAAAATGAGCCGAATAAAGAAAATACATATTTCTAACAGGCACCTTTGGCGTTTGGTGAAAAAGAACGTAATTAAACTACCTATATAAAACTAACAGTTTTGTATATATTGAATATTTTGAATACTCCATACATCATCTTAAACTGTAGACTGTATAACGCTGTATTATTATTTTATCCCTTTTAGGTTGAGGCTGTCGAAAACGATGAATGATTCTAAACTGAGAATTTACCCAACTCACAGAAGACTGGAGTCTTAGAGATAATTGAGTTTTAGAAATTATTTTTATTTTATGTGTGTTTGTGTTGGTTCTTGTTCATTTATTTAACAAAATTTTTATTGTATATATACATATGCCATTTGAGTTTTATTCATCAACTTTTCGAGCCTGTGAATTGTAAATTTAAAACATTTTGAAACAAATTAGCTTAAAATGTTTTGTAAATATTTTTATGAATACGTTATGGAATCATGAAACTACATAGTCATTCTTTGATGAGTACAAATATTTTAACTGGTGGTATATTTTTGTCCTCGAAGCAGGGCAATCCTATAATTCTGCTTCTAGGCCCATTATGTACCACCAATTAAAATACTTGCACTCTTCAGAGACACCATGTATAATGTTACAAAATATTTATTTGCAACGTTTAAATAACGTCTAGCGCAACGCTTCAGTAACATTTCAACGAAACGTTTCTGAGGGCTGACATTTGCAGTAACATACACATTTCTGAAACGTTTCGGGATTTTAATATACGTTTCTGAAACGAAAAATTGTTTAGCGGGTTACCGATTGAGAATAATTGAGTCATGACAAGACGCTTAAATTAGAGAGTCAAAAATTATTTGCATTATTTATTCTTTATTCAGAATGTGATTAGAGTTATATCAACAACATGATTCCATTCGATATCTGCAAGAACAGAAGCTATCACCCTATGCTGTTAAACAAATTATAGACAAYTTTAAGAATTATGTTTCCGTCACGACAATCGCGCAAAGTAATAATCAAAATAGTAATAATTCCGTTAGTAATGATATKATCGAAATTGTTATTTTGTGATTTTTCGCCGCATATCCAACAATGTATGTAAGACGAGCTGCGTTAGAGTCAGGATTGTCGCAATCAGCCAGTTTTATAATATTTCGCAGACATAAGTTCCATTCATAGATATTTTCCATAGTTCAACATTTGAAAGATACTGTTTTTGTTCAAAAGGTTACATTTTGTGAATTTCTCATGACTTGGTAGCAAGGAACCGATCTTTTTTGAACAATTTCATATRGACAGACGAAGCAAAATTTACAAGAAATTGTACCTGTAAATCGACACAATTCCCATTACTTGGCAATTCAAATGTATATGTGTGAAATTTTTTTACAAAATTTTGGCAATTTACTTTTTATTGTGCTATTAGGAATGATAGCGTCACTCAGTTTTTTGGATCACTCTAGATAAAAATGTGCTTATATACAATGTAAGTAAAGGCTATTTGAACTTTTTAGAACATTTTGAAGGCTACTATTTAGACAACTTGCCCCTCGCTGTTGGGCTTTGCATTTAGAACCAACCATTCCTTAGATAGAGCTTGTTCCGTAAACATCTGTTATTGACATTTTTTCCTTAAACAATTGACATTGACATCGACACTATAAAAAATAAGTTAACAAATCTAGGGTGGCTCAAACTCGAATTGGAAGGCAAATCCAACCATTCTAGAAAAATAGGGACTTGCATTTAAAATAAGAAAGTAAGGTAATAGTTTTCGTACACCCTGTTCTACAGAGCTAAAATGGAGATAAATATATTTTACATCGTTTCGGGACGACTCGGTATGACCGGAAACGAATTTTGAAGGTTCTAAAACAACCATAAGTCGGAAAATTTCTAATGCACTGCCTACATAAATCACCCTGTATAGCTGAGGTATATGCCTCTATTTTCTTAATTCTCATAATCTTCGGGTTCCACTTTCGATTTTTGAGAGTATTTTTTATTGCATTCGTGACATGATGCCTAATTGAATAGATTGTAAAAAACGGTTACACTTAAATCTCGATTTTAATTTAAAAAATCAAGTGACACTTAAATTATGATTTGAGTGGTGAGTTGAATCAATTGATGTAAATTGATGCTACGCTGTGACGAACTTACCTTTTATCATACTCCTTTCCTTACTTTGTCTATGTCAACTATAGAAATAAAGCAAACCTGCCACCAGGGTTTCCCAATTGGGGCTAAGGTAAACGGAACCTTTAAAATTAAATTAAATTATAATATTAAATAAAATAAATAATATTAAATTAACGCAAAGTTTAATAATGGTATAAAGTAATATAATGGTACAACGATGTAGCATCTTTACATTTAGGTTATAATGTATTGACGCAAGAACTATGTAGGTGGTTTGTATGTTACTGTAATTCAACTTGGCTTGCAGCCGTTTATCTCATCGTCATAATTTTTAGCAGGAATCTTTTTAATTTCTTCCAATAAGGTAGCCTCAAATTCTCGTAGACCTTGTGGCTTTTTATACTGAAATAAAGATAACATTATACAGTATATATGGTGTTTGGAAACTTTATAGCTGACGTAAAGAACTTACCGTAATTATCAGTGTATTAAATTTGTGGCAAAAGTTAACGTTTTCTTGATTCATTTCGATACCTAGTCGTTCTAAGTCAGGTACATTTATTTCCTTGTAATACTTCTTGTTGGTAGTACGAACAATTAAGGAGTATGAACCCTTATCTATAGTTACTGAATACACGTCGATTGGATATGGCATGTTTCTTATTCTCCACTCAAGATTGATCTTTGTAATTCTCCTCGTTATAAACGGCTAAAAAATGGCAGTTAATCAGCAGCAGTACATTCGGCCCTTAGAAGCTTAAATACAAATAACAATGGTTTCACATGCAAGGCAATTTCAAGAGTCAGTTCTTTCTTATTATTTACCTGAGTGGAATTTTCACGAATCATGCATTTCTGTTCCGCATCATATTTAGGCTCCGGATCCCCAACTTCAATATCCCAGGCATCCTCGCCTTTCAATTCATTGTTTGTCCTCCATGCTCTGCGAGTGACGCAATTTGTTAGTAAATCGTATTGCTCCACCAATTCCTTGCCGTCTTCAAAGTCGTAATGCACTTTTCTTGAATTTCTGTCGATAATGCAAGACTTTTTTGCTTTCTGCAGCTTACTAAACCAGTTGTTCATCTTCAAACCGCATCTA